TCACTTCACGCGAACATTGTTCTCCTATAGAGGTTTTCATGTAAAGTGGCTAGTATCTGCTCTAATCTCCCAAATCTAGAGGATCATACGAAAAAGAGGTAAAACAGACTTGAATAGAAAACTTGTTCCACTTGAAAACCTTTGATTGCAAAAAGAGGGACCAAAAGATAATTTATCATCATTGGTAATCACATCGGTTAATTGGAATTACACCACTAACTAATGCCTCTTGGAAGTCAACACTCTGCATCTAACAAGTGCATACTAGTTGCTGGGTTGACTCTTGGCAAGTTGTGTTTAATTCTGCATTTATCCCGCAAGCAGCTTATTCAATGCTACTGAAGTGATGATACTGTATTATTCTAAACACGGCCACTTGGCTCATTGCCTATTTTTTACTAGCATGCTACTAAAAAGTTGTTAAAGCAACGTATCTTCAGGGAAATTTTAATAGTTGGAAATACATTTTGTGACATTTCTTCACCATTTTACAAACACATTTTGAAGGAAGCAAGTGCGCAAAATCCATATCCAGTTTTGCGATTTCTTTCAAGGGCTATAGATGAGTAGGCTCATACTCCTCAGACAGATGTATCTGGCAAATTAAATTGCAATGTTATATTTTCAAAAACGTTTGCCATATACCAGCGACAGAATTGGTTTGCTTTATTTTGATAACACTGACGTGTTTTAGGATAATTTGTAGATCACAATAGATAAGTTATGACACAAGTTGATGGAAAACTAATATCATTTTTGACCAAAAGTTTACAGGACATTACCAGTCGGTGTACCGCATGATAAGATACCGTTCTACAGTGCACTTTTTATTACACGTTTAGTTCACACGACTTGTACGTGCATATAGCTATGACATTCTTGCCATGGAAGTTACTCGTCAACAAACGTATTTCAGGCATATGGAATATGAGTTATCTGCAATTCCTTCAAGTTTTTTGGGTAGCGCATCCAGCTTAGTAGGATAGACGTACTTTATAAAATATCCTACGTATGTTACGGATTGAGTTTGCATCCGGGCAACACTCAGAAATAATTTCAACTTCTGAGACTCAAATATTAGGATTTTACCATCAAATTTAACGTATATGGATCCATAGGCTCGCTTGCGATAATAATGATCTACGTCATTTGAATAAAGAATAATTCGTCGTTTATTCTCGGAGAACACGATCACATATCAGATTGCTGACGACGAATGTGGAAGAACGTGGAGAAAAAATAAAACAGAGATGGAAACCTTCAATTGCAAGGCGTATTACAAATGGTTTTCCACATAGTCAACAGAGCGATGGGTACTTAAATAGCAGCAAATCAACAGGGTTCAAACAATGCCTATTGCTCGTTGGAGCAGACTAAGAACCAGCGAAATCAAGAATCGCATATCAGATTGCCCGTCATTTGGGTTTAGATATGAATGAAACTACCCCGTTTCGTAAGTGTTTAGAGAGTTAAAAATGGTAAGAAAACACAAGTCAATGACTATAAGCTTCGGAAGCCCCGTCACATATCAGACTTGTTGGATAGAGGAAAGTAGATTCCTCTACGTGTAATGCTCATTGGTTCGCAAACCAAAGGCGACGTAAAAATAAGATAAAACGGAGGGCGTAGTCCTCAGTAGCGTGGTTTTCCCTCATTTTACACGAGCACTCCGCACACACACGGTTGTTTTTCGCCAAGCTCAGAGTTTAAAAAAATCATCGAAGTAGATGCTCTCAATTTATTTAGAGCTCCATCGCAACACGACTATGACGAGCATATCACGCGCGATTCTACATGACTTCGGAACTTTCACCAAACTCTCTGTTGAGAATAGCTTCCCCAATAGGGGGTTGTCTGGTCACAACGACCTCAGAGAGCGTTCCTAGCTTTTGTCTTTAGAAGTCGCATTATGGCTGGATACCGAGTAAACATGAGTTTTGAACTCCAAAGGCTCCGATCTGAAACCCATACTCTGACCAACTCTCGCAAGCGGCTATCCTTAGCACTGTTGCACGGACGATCGCCCGAGCGACCTCCATTCTTTTTTTGGAGTAGGAGTAGGCGACGAAAATCTCAAAAAGCTTCTTCAAACGCAAGATCATTCATTGCAATTCTGCACTGCGCATACTACAACATTTCTTTACATGCCTTGTTCCGTTTTGGGACAGGTGAATCCACATTAGGGTATTGACTTCAACGTAGCTAACTGGGCTGTTCATCGGTAGACGTGGTCAACCAGAAGTTGACTATCTCATATAGTTATCAAAAGGTTTTTCGGTACTATATCAACTTGACAGAGCACCAGATGCGTGCCAACCTCTGCATTAGATAGTTTTCATGGCCTCCGTTCTTTGGTACGTCTACAACGCGGCACGCATCAGCCCGTCGAGCATTTGCCGAGGATGCGACTGGTTTCTGGTTTTTCTATTTGTTCAAAAGTAAATCGGGCGACCAAATTTGTCATGGTCTGTCGGAAGCAGGAAGTTGGAGGAACCTTGGCAAAGCAAAATGTTATACGAAGATCGCTGTCCCACAACGCTTCTTGTCCCCAAACATCATCATTGATTTCGTTTTTTCCGGATGCCAATCGCCACACCATCTCTTCCCGGTTTGATGTCAGCAGCTTTAAGTTTCTGTTTAAAGCGCGCCTGACGTTTTCGCACACCTAGTGATTGGCGAAGCAATCCATCCCTGAAGTTGTCTAGCGACTGGTGGCCGAAAATCCCCAAAAGGCTTCATCCATCCTTCTAATGGACGTTTATGGGGGAAGGGAATACTATTGCTTCAGTCATCTGCGTCAGTGAGCTTCTAAATAAAGAGGAACTAAATGAGAGGAACTCCATTACTAAACTGTAAGTTATACCAAGCTAGGTTTGGCTGTGCCATAAAGGCTACCAAAGATATGACAACTGGGTCAAGGAAAAGTGAATCGAAGTCTGTTAAGAAGTTAAAGTCACACGGAGGCCAGAAAAGTTGATGGAGAATGATAAGGCAGGTTGTGTACCAGCAAGCAAATGGATGGCGGAAAAACTGATCTTATTAAGCCCCGTTAAAATGGACTCTCGATTTTCGGAACTGGAGTAAGCTGGACAAAACCGAATTTCAGTAGATGACTTCCGGATGAAAACGCCAATTTGAAACAACTTGGAATAGCACCGACAAAGCCTTTTGTGTGCAAGCTAGTCCAAAAATGGAGACGTCTGATACATTTGCGCGGCACACATTCTTCACTGAATTCGGTTCAATCTAACTTCAGTCGCTGCAGTTTCCTTTGCGTAGTTCCTTCTACAACCCACCGAGCACAGTAGACGTTGAACCTAATCATCTCTGTTGGTATAAGTTCTGGATGGCAGCGTAGTTCGCTCAGTCAGTTTGCTTTCGGTTGACTGCAATTTGAAGTTACTGTATACGGCATAAGGTGACGGATCCTCGCATACGTGAGCATTTCCTAGGTGTGTTTGAGTCCACAGGATTGAAGATGTCCTCCAGTCCCAGGATGCGAAACCGCGACCATCGGAGAAGAGTCATATTGACAAAATTCGCAAGCGGAGTGTCATAGTCAGAATCCAACGGTTTTATGTTGCAGTACACGGTTTTTTAACTGAGGTATACACTCTAGTATCTGACGACTATGGAGCACCCTGAGCAGTGGTTTTGGTCGAGGCCGCAAAAAAGGACTAATCCGGAGGTGCTTGAAAGTTAAGCACGTGATACCTGGTTTGGCCCTGGTAGGCAATCGTCCCACAAACAATGTGGTTTGCATACCACAAGACTGATATACCTAGTCAGCCAGGCTCATAGATGACCACAAATTCTGTTCGGACTAGAGAGCATCAAAAGTATTACCTTGGTCAGGGCATCTGAATTATACTTAGTGGAATGAACGCATCCACGGTTTTGACGTAGACCAATAGACATAGAAAAACGGCGGAGACAATAAGACGGGGAAGAATCACAAGTCAGTAGAAACAAGCCAGCTTCTGATTTGCATCACTTTCTACGGCCCTCAAAAATGAGCTCCAGGAGTTTTCCTTGCGTACTGGGTTGTAAGTCATGCGCAGCCACCAAACTGTACGTGTTGTTTGCTGTTGAATGAACGCATTCACGGTTTTGACGTAGACCAATAGACATAGAAAAACGGCGGAGACAATAAGACGGGGAAGAATCACAAGTCAGTAGAAACAAGCCAGCTTCTGATTTGCATCACTTTCTACGGCCCTCAAAAATGAGCTCCAGGAGTTTTCCTTGCGTACTGGGTTGTAAGTCATGCGCAGCCACCAAACTGTACGTGTTGTTTGCTGTTGAAAGTGTTCATCACGCTGGAATCAAGCTAAGTTTTATCCCTGTCTATATGTTCTGAGCTTTGTCATCACCACAAGGAAGTGATTAGACAGTATTATCGTGTTTCCCCTCGTTCGAAAGTGTAAGCACACCAGCCTTTTGTCTCGTAAGTACTTCTTATTTATCCGCAAACTTGGTGAAATATAGAATGATCCAGAGAAGGTTCAGATAAGCCACTATATTAGCAAAATAAAATCTCCTTCTGTTGCATTACTTGATTAAATTTCAACTAACTATATACTTCCAGAAATCAGGCAATTAGTGACAGTCAACGCAGCTTATCACATTTGATAATGAAGTCGTCCAGGGCCATAATCATGACAATATGCAACACACGTCTGAATGCATAGTAACGGACAATAATTTTTGCAAGAAAATACTTGTCTATCTTTTTTAAGTTACTTTAAGAATAGATTGAACATCCTAGCTTGATGCCACTCAAACCTGCAGCTTATTTAGGACCTCCCAATAACATGTTAAGAAATATTGCTGAAAAAGGATACTTTCTAAAGCAGCTGTTATATATTGTTTTAAACAGCTTATCATAACTTAATATTCCTCAATAAATTTTCGATCGACTCATACCTAAATGTTTCCCGTATTCGAATTTTTCATTGAGCAACTCTGTTAGATTCTGCTTTATTTCTCCTTATTTCCAGGATTCATGCACCCAGCAAAAAGCTCGCCATGTGCGGAGGATGATCGAAAGTTGATTGATGCAAAGGAGCCTAAAAAGGGACGCAAGAAAAATCGCTTGTTTGGATTGTGTAGTTGTGTTAGCCGTCAAAACAAAAGCTGACACAAAAATTCACCACATAATTTTTCAGTGCCTTTGTCAACCAGCTGTGCAATTGAATTTTGCAGATGTAGATACGCACATGATATAGCTTGCTTGTTGGACATGTTCGCATAATTGCACATCACCTGCCATTCAAATGTTACTATCTATATTATGATTTTCGAATTTGCCATGATTTGGTGCAAAAAAAGTGGACTTTGCAGCCAGAATCTTGAATTTCAGATCAATATTTCGCTAGCATCGCCGTCCCAAATTAGATAAGAGCTTCAAGAACGGTGTTTCACACAGATCACTAAGCTTTGTCAAACTCGGTATGACAGGTGCTATAATTTTTATACTGTTATTTGCTGCAAAAGCTCCAATTTCATTTTGGACAACCATTATTTCGCATTTATTTCGTCACGTTACTGTTTCGTTTCTCTTTATTCAGATGGGTTTTTCTTCGCCTGGAAGATTTCCAGCGTATTTTTGTAACCCATCTATTTGTTGGAGCATAGCTGTGCAACCTACCTGTGTGGATTGTAACTATATAAAAATGGACTAAGTTGGTGTTCTGCAACTAAGTTTTACATCTGCTTAGGAAATAATAAAGCAGTCGACTGTATAAGCGGGAGAACTAATATATGTAGAATTTATTAGTTGATTCAGGTCTTTATCATTCCAAATCACCCGGATAACCATTTCTTCAGGATGGTTGATGGCAAATAATTGGTGCCCTGGGATACGAAGATAGACGACGTATCTAAAAATTTTCTATAAATAATATCTTTATAATAAAATATGAATAACAAGAAACGAATAAATAATAAAAAGGCTGCAGATTGACGCATAAATCATTATTTTAGTCATCATATGGACCGAAACTCAAGGTACATTGAAGCAGAAAAATCTGTCGTTCAATTTTTTAAGCCATGTCTCAACATCTATAGCACATTAGTTACATAAAAATAGTTTATCACAACTTTGATGAGCATTTGATTGCTTCCATCATCGAACGTCTGCTCTGATAATATATTTTAAACTGCAAAGGAAATCTTATCACATGCAGGGTGACTTCGTTTCACTCACAGAAGTAAGTGAGGTTTCGGACACTGAATTCTTGGGAAATATTATCCATGTAGAAAGATCTACCTGTTAAAGCTTTTGAACTTGTCCACGTTAGAAACCAAAACAGCGAGTCGGATCAACTTAAAGTGCGTTGGATCCATGAGAGCAAAAGGTATCGCACATATCGGAGTGAGATTATAACAATCTTGATAAGTAAATCTTATGGTGGCATAGTGTTAGATGCCTAGTAAAAAGTAAGCTGGGTTGCTTACAAGGAAGGCGCGAGTATAGCTACTTAGTCCTATCCGATTAATATCTAATTTATGTTGGTAATAGTTTTCGAGATAACTGGAACTATTTCATGTGCAGTCTTTATCAGCACATGATGAATAATTATACCTTAAGGCGTTCCAAGAGAATTGCTCATTCTTTTCAAACATTTGCCCATTTATTTTCCTTGGGAGGTGCATTGCCATTCGAACCCGTCTAAATCCAAAAAAGTGGTCAGGTTTTTAGAGTCCGGAGCAGCTTCCAAGTGCAAAATGGTCCGCCGGTGTCTCTTTAGACGTAATTTAGGTATGAATTATTAATACATTAAATTCGAGAGTATTCCAATTTTTACCACTTTTTAATGGCCTCGGGAAAGAAGCGAGAGCAGCCGCAGGTCACGATTATAATATGGACATTTGCGCCTCATGTGTTGGTCAAAAAATGTTGGTGACAACGCAGACATATATCTCCATCTCGACTCTATCCTGTGCGACACCGCAGCAAGTAGTGCACAGCACGTCTTCATCTCACATAAATGACTATTTGTCCGCATTTGTCATCGCGTGTCATTGCACATTACTTGGTCGTTCGTGTTTTATTCTGGTCGCGTTGATACTACTATGGGATGTGCTTACCATATATTTGAAGGCTAGGTCAATATAAGCGCTTTTTAACTTAATTTAACAGGTCAACTTTTGCCGGGATTTGACGATAATCTGAAAATTGTTAAATCGTGTGTTTGTCCGGTATGTGATACTAGTCCATATCGTTCAGCCAAGAAGCCTCTCACAGCCTTTGCATTAGTAAAGTGTATGATTAGATCTAAGCACTTCACAACTCTCTACGGAGTTCCGATTCCGTAGTGATTGGGCTTGCGTTTAAAGACCAGGTATTCCGATGAACTTTATTTATTTTAATCCGATATTTGAATGCTATGTACATTGCCATCGATAAATTCAAAATCTCTTCAGATAGATTTGGTTACATTTAACACGGAATTGTGATTTAGATACCAATTTTTGCAAGCATCTAATTATCTGGGATTTATCAAGTATGGAGAACAATGTGTTTTACGATGTGTCGAATTTTGTACTGCATGTCAAGTTTACACTATAATTTACTGAGATTATATCCACAATGACCAGAGAGTGCTCCTTGTAATGATATAAACCATCACGGAAATATTTCAAAACAAAAGACAACGATCAGCTACGAGCAACAAAAATGCTAAATTGTGGTCCAACAAAAAACACTCTGGATTATGAAGAAACTGTTCATCTAGGTAGGAAAATTGTAAAAGCATCTCAGGTGGAAAACTGTGGCTCTTTTTATTATAAACATAATTATGAACATTAAACCAAAGTCCAATTGGAAGGCTTTTGATTTCCATTTCTTCTTATGTAGGCATTAATTCCTTCAAATTTTGAGACTATTTGAAAACTTTGCAGACTACAACGACCATGCATCTGCTCATTTTGATGTTTTTTTATACAGTATACGACTTTTGTAACGCAATAATTAACGATGAAAGGCAGGATAATGTACGAGTGTCATAAATCAGCTAAGTTTACGCCCGTTTCCACTTTTAACGTATTTATCTACGAGAGTTTTCTATTTGTCGTTATGATGTCATTTGTGATACTTCAAAAACCAAACCGACTTTTTACGCATTTCGAGCTCGTTTGAATTGACTGCCAGCGTTTTCCTTTTCACATGTATCCATGTTTTTCTAATATCTCACTAACCTCCAACTAAACCAGGGGGATTTGGTTTGTGGAACACTGTGGAAGCCAAAACATTCCCACAAATTCTGGTATGTGTGTGATTCTCTACGACAATTTTTATTCAATATCTACGTCGTTCTGTTAATATCAGATTGTGCGTGGTTTTCGGGAAAGTATCAGATAGGGAAATTAACCGCAAATAATCTCTCTTACTAGTCAACAAATCAAACTTCTCTTCGAACTAGTGCAGTTAGTAGGAGTAAATCATAACTTGTTAATAACAGTTTCGGTTCGCTGGTGATGCTTTTGTGACAACTCAATCTAGTGATGTTTGTTGGAGCGGAAAGCTGAGCAGATAATGGCTGATAAGTTTAGTGGAATATACAGCCGGCTTGACAATTCTGGTAAATGCTATTACAGTGTGCCCACAACCACATTACAAAGAGACGCACTAAACTTCCTCATGCACATCCTATTGTAACTAACACATCAATGGCTGCGCCCCTTTTCTAAAAATCTCCAATCAACATATGGAATTCCTAATCCAATGGCGAGCGCACTCCACTGTTTAAGGAAGAAAAAAGCCTCTTCGAGAATCCAAAAGGTCTACTTATTAGGTTGCTTACTTGCAACTTAAAAGTGAATTTACCACATAGCCAGTAGCTTCACAAATATTAAGGTTTTAGCATTGCGCGCTTTTTGACGCGCAATCAAAATATTACTCCATCTGCCATATCAAAATTCTCCGATACTACACGTTTTTTCATACTATTAAAGAAGTGTTGAAACACATGTTGACTTTTTGATGCTTGTGTAGTACATTGGTTGTCAGATGCTAAAGGTTTGATGAAGACCGAATTTACCGCTATCTATCTCGGCAAGCTGTACACTTTGAATGACGAGCGACCGCAATTTAGATAATCCTGGGATAGCCGGAAAGTTTGTTATTCAGTGAGAAGAGCTGAATCATTAAACAAGTGTTGTTCATTTGTCAGTATGCCTTTTGCCGCAAAATTGTTCAAAACTACTTATGCCTCTACACAGCCGGTTGACAAGATTATTAAAGATTCGCTATTGTAATCGGATAGCTGTCAACATCTTCACGCGTTTTAGGCAATTGTGTCAGCAATTTGTATTCTCACAGCGTCTGAATTTGCGGCCAGTTCACATTTGCATCTCTTCCTAAAGATTACTTAGAAAAATTACGGATGTGCACCAACTGGTCTCTATTTCACATTAGTGTCTTGTCAGTATCTGCATGCACCACTAAAGCTGTATGTCTCTTGATCGCCAAAAATCGATTTTTAAGATTGCTATTCGGGATTATAAGTGCGATGGAGTGATTTCAAAGAGCGAGCGAGTGTCAGAAAATTTTGAGGAACGAGTTAGATAGTTTTCCCAAGTGAAATTTGGAAGCCAGATCGATAAGTGAGGATAAATCAGAAAGGCATAGCGTAATCTCTTCCGTTTTATGAGCACTGGATAATTGCTTGGGGAATTCACAGCCCGTCTAAAATGGTAACTTCGTCAGAAATAGCCGTAGAATAGGAAAAATACTGGGTTATGGTGACAAAAAACTGTTAGATTTTTCGAATAGTTGAATAGGTTAACCTTTGAATCAAGCTGGTCAGGAAATGAGGTGAAGTAAGATAAGAATTTGTACAGAGCTAGTAATAACACCGTATTTGAAGCAAATCAGGTCTCGCTGTATAGCAACAAGCTGTGACACGGAGTTTCCCTGAAAATCCGACGAAAATACAAATGACTGCCCACAGTTAGCTGGTCGATCTGGCCGCGTACGTTCAATCAACAACTGTGATAATTTTTCGGCTTGTTGTAGTGTAGCTATATGTTGGTGGGTGGTTAAAAGTAAACCCTCCAAATAACACATTAATCATAAGTTTGCTGACAAATCTTTGACACACCAGGACCAATTTTGCCCTTCTTGAAGCTACTCAGGCAGTTGTAGGCCCTAAGCTGCAGTCAACTTAGCGTTTCCCTTGAAGTCAATCGAATTTATTTTACTGACAGACTCAACCCAATTTCAGTTAAATCTCTTGCTTATGATATCATTGAAACGGATATGTCACGCAGAAGGTGCTTTTGGAATAATTTATGCAACAGTCAAGATATAGTACTGAACTTTCTTAGCAAATATATTACTGGTGAGGTTGAATGAGGTATCTGACATTCACTGGAAGCAAATTATAAATAAGAAACCCAGCTAAGCTTGACCCAAATCCCTCGTGAAAACCCAACGAAATTATTTTTGTATTTTCTGAGTTGAATGCGTTATTTTTTGAAGTAGAACATAAAGTCAGTAGACGCTCGAGGATGGTGCCTACCATGAAACCCTCAAGAATTTTGAGACTGATCATGGGCTGCCGAACATTCTTTGGATTTGCTTCCTGCCAAGAAAAATACCGTAACATTCCGAACATCACACCACCTAAAATAAAGGACTGATTTGACGCACGAGCTTGTTTTGTAGGAGCTGGCTATTTTAAAAGCAGAATAAATGGTAAAGTAAGACATTACAGTGTCATTTTTCCAAGTTACAGTAAAACAATCTG